AATAGAAGATATATGAATGGTGGGGCATGTGTGCATGCCCAAAATCCTGAGGCTGGATTCCCATGTAGTCGACTGCGGTTCGCGTGCCAGACCCAGTGGCTTAAAACTCACGCTGGCACGTGTGCATGCATGCCCAAGATCCCGAAAGGGGAATGGAGGAGAAGGGATTGCGGCGTGGCCATCCCCCCTGGGGGGTGATTTCTCGCTTTCTATCTCTCTGTCTCTCTCTGTCTGTCGGCAAGTGCACGCGCCCTGTAGTGAAAACCTCTCCAAAATAAAATATATATGAATGGTCAATAAGTACATAAGAGGTTATTCATCATTAGAGAACTGAAAATTAGGACCTTACCAAGATGATATACATTCACTACAATGACTAAAATTAAATAGCTTGGAACCAGCAAATGTCATAATGGTTATGTCAATGGACTCTCGCATGGTCAACTGTGGTTCAATTCCCAGACCCCGCAGCTTAAAACTCACGTACGTGTCCAAAATCCAGAGAGGAGAAGGAATTGTGGCATGGCCATCCCCCCATGCCCGGGGGTGAGGGGTGATTTCTCTCTGCCTCTCTGGCAAATGCACACACCTTATAGCAAAAATGTCTCCCTAAAAGAAAAAAAAATTAAATGGCTCAACAAATTTAAACATGTTTAAGACAGAGTTTTCGTCAAGTGAACATTACAGTAGTTTTATTGTAAGTGGTTGGCCTATCTGATCCAAACTTTATAATGTAAAACAAAAAAACAAAAAAAAAGAATTAAAGATTTGTAATACCAAATGTTGGAGATGATATGAAACAACTGGTACAATCTTATACACTACTGGTGAGACTGTAAAATAATACAAAACTTTGGGAAACATTTTGGCAGTTTCTTATCAAAGTAAACATACCACACAACTCAGCAGTAACACTCTTAGGAATTTAAAAGGAAAACAGAAACATACGCCCATACAAAGACTTGTACACAAATGTTCATAACAGTTAAAAATTTGAAACAGTGAAGTTTCCATCAACAGAAGAGATAAACAAATTATGGTATAGCCATATGATGCAAATCAATTCAGCAATTAAAAATAAATTCTGATAAACATAACAGAACGACTCTCAAAAATATTTTCCTTAGCAAAAAACAAAAAAAAAGAGCCACACCCAAGAGAATATGTACATTATGATTCCATTCATAGAAAATCTTAGAAAACTCAAATTAACCTATGATCACATAAGGAGCTCTGTGGATGTCTAAGGTTGGAATTGAGTGACTCAGGCATCCAAGGTCACAAAGAAAACTTAGGTGATAGAAGTGTTTTAAATCTTAATTATTTAAGAGTTATACACATTTATCAAAGCTAATTGAAATATACACTTAAATGGATTCATCTAGGGCCAGTAGGTGACATGAAGTTTAAGACAGTGGAATCTCACGTGGCTGAGCACAGTTTGAGTCTCGAACCTGGCGGCTTAAAAATCATACCGGGTGTGTATGTGTGTGCACTCAAAATCCTAGTTAGTGAATAAAGAAGATACGGCAGTGTGGCCATCCCTCCTGAGGAGTGATTTCTCACTTTCTCCCTCTCTCTCTCTTTCTACAATGAGCTCATGTGCCCTATGATGAAAATAAATAAATAAATAAATATTCATCTAAGTATGTATAAATTATATATCAATACAATTTATTTTTAAGTTACAGTATTTTAAAAAATTATCATAGAAAAGCAAAAGGTATTTGTTCTATCAGCATATTTTAGCTAATACTCAATAACAAACCACATTTATCCATTTGGTCAACCGACAAGATTTTGCATATGATGTGCCAAAGGAAGTTTTACAATATGCCTGTTTTATCTTCTGTAATATCTAAATCTAAAGCAAACCATTCTGATAAAATAAGATCTCCCTGCCTAAAAAAACATAAATAAAATACTGAGCCAAGTGGAGAAACGCTTATATATCAAGCAAAATCTGCCAGCTTGTTTTTGACTGGTATCTGATGCCAGTTGCTGGGCATTAAGTAAATAATGTATAGAGTATACAATAATTTTGTTCTCTCTAGCTTCTATACTTTAGCTTAGTTTGCTTCCTAATGCATATTTTTACAAGTACCTTCATTTTCATTTAAATATCATAAGCACAGAATTTACCTAGAACCATTTAAATTAGCCATTCATATATTCAACTATGTACTTATAAAAGATTTGTCTACCATGACAAATTGGTTGGTGGGAAATGCCTTTATATGACCCAAACTAACATTTTTGTTCATTGTTACAACAACATGGAGATTAAAAACCACAGTATTTATTAAAAACTAAATAATTTTTTCCTGACCTTTCCTTTGCAGTTTAGGTAAAAACGACTGACACTGATTATGTGCACTCACGGTGAATCTATTTGCTCAGTACTTGATAGGTGCTTCATAATATAACAAACATTTCTAAGGTTGCACTTAGGATGAGTAAAATATCGAGTCTTCAGGGACCAGCAGTTAGTGTAATGGCTATGTTGCTGGACTCCCACGTAGTCAACCGTGGTTCGAGTCCTGGACCCAGTAGCTTAAACTCACACCAGACGCGTGTGCGTGTGTGCCCAAGATCCCAAGAGGAGAATGGAGGAGAAGGGATTGCGGCGTGGCCATGCAAAAAAATTTAGAGAGAGAGAGAGAGAGAGGAGAGAGAGAGAGAGAGAGTCTTCAAAAAGTTCATGGGAAATGCACAATATAAAAAATAATAATAAGCATGGTTTTCAAAATGTTTACACCAAAATAAACTTGTACTTCAGTTTCACTTTTCCACTAGCTCTTTGAAGGTCTCTTGTATTTCTCCCATAAACTTCATTAGATCACAGGAATCCATTTCTGGCAAATATCTCTTGCTTTCTTCTTAATACACTATTTACTTAAATTAAAAACAACTTGGTGGGGCAGACTGTATTGTGATGCTCTATGAGACAGTTCTACATGTGACAGGTTACAGATCAAGATGGTGAATCGCCCTGGGTACACTGGCCATGCTTGTTTGTGACCCACAATCCAGGGCTAGCTGAATGCTAGAGGTGGATTCTGACAGCAAGACTCTATTGAGGATGCTGTTTCTCTCTCTCTCCCTCTATCTCAAGAAATACATAAACTTGAAAAAACTAGAAACAATTTACCTCTTTCTGGGGAAACTAAACAGCTGGTCTACCTTACTGAGGATTAATGTCTCTAACACATTTCCAATTCAGCCGTATCATATATGTCTTATATTTGTAGCTAGTTCTAGAGAAACAGACCAGATAGATTATAGGTGATAGATAAATATAAGTAGGTAGATAGATATAGATAGATATTTAGATAATAGAGATAATAGATAGATACAGATAGAGGATAGATAGATGTGGTTTTACTTATAGATTTAGGCATAGAGAAAGAGATTTATTATAAAGTATTGACTCACATAGTTATGGAGGTTGACTAGTCCACAAACTGGAGGCCCACAAAGCCAAAGTATAGCTTTAGTCTGAGTCCAAGTCCAAGTCTGAAGGCGGGAGAGGACTAAAGATCTTAGCTCAAAGACTGGCAGACAGAGAGAACAAATTTCCCCATACACCACCTTTTTATTCTATTCAGGCCTTTAGTGTATTGAATAAGGCCACCTTCAGGAAGGAGTGGAGTCTACTTTATTTGTCCACTAATTCAACTGTTAACCTCATTCAGAAACACCTCACAGACATACCCAGAAAAATGTTTAACCAAATATCTGGGTACACTGTGTCCTAGTATGCATTCACTTTAGAATTATTAGAAGCTGAATTTCAAATATAAAAGAGGAAAAGAGACAGAGTTTAAAGAGCTTCTCCACATAGAAGAAAGAACAAAAGTGTAATCTATTTTTCTTAGAAAAATAAAACTATATGCAAGTACTAAGTCAGAGATATGATTCTCATGAAAAGATACAATGAATGTGAATTAGAAGAGATTAAAAATTATATACAAATTTGCATGCTAAGGAAACTATGGGTTCCTTAAAACAAATGCTCATCCCTTACCAAATTCAAAGCATGCAAACTGATACTAAAATTTATCATAAACTTTTGCTACTAGAATATTACATTTGAGACTGAGCAACAGAGGTAAGTCACAACTCAGAAAATGATACTTCAGTTCAGTTAAAAAAAAAATTAGGGGCCAGAAGGTGGTAAAGGCCCTGGATCCCAGATGGTTACTCATGGTTTCAGTCCCAGTTCCAGACGCTTAAAAGTCTCACCAGGAAAAATTTTTAAAAAGTGTCTGGCAAAAAAAAAAAAAAAAAAAAAAAAAAACACGTCTCAAATTCTTTGACACCCACCCTTTAAAATACTCACCAAGAAAAATTTTTAAAAAGGGGTTGGCAAAAAAAAAAAAAAAAAAAAAAAGTCACGTCAATAATGCGCATGCCCAAAATGTTTAGAGGAGAAAGGAGGAGAAGGGCTTGCAGAATGGCCATCCCCCCCATGGAGTGATTTCTCACTTTTCCTCTCACAGTATCTCTGTTTCTCTCCTCCTCTAGTGAGCATACCACATCTCTCTTTCTCTCTCTCTCTCTTTCTCTCTCTCTCTCTCCTCCCCCCCTCTCTCTCTCACACACACACAAAATCTAAAAGATGTTCTTGTTACATGAAGATTTATTTTTCAAGAAAACATGTACATAGACCTATAACATAATTTCTTATTACAAAGAAAATAGTTAATTCCAAATACATTTTTATCTCTAGTTTATGTTCCTGGTCACAACCTAATATTACAAACAATCTGAGTTTTGACTTTAATTTAGGATCTGTGACAAATGTGGATAATTTCCCTTCATAGCTTTATCATTAAAATAATAAAAATTTAAAGCACTATTAGTTAAACTTTTTGCCCCCAGTGATAAATTCTCACAACTGTATTAAAATCATCAAAATCTGGATACTCAATATTCTGACAAGATATAATATGCCCACATGCAGTATCCCCCCATAACTTTGTTTTTTATCCATCTAGCACTAATGTATGCAAGCATTTTCGGGAATGTATCTGCAATTATCCAAAGACTGTACTCGGGAACTGCCAGGTACCACATGCAGATGCTGCGAGTAAAAGAGTTCATTCGCTTTCACCAAATCCCTAACCCTCTGAGGCAACGACTTGAAGAGTATTTCCAGCACGCCTGGACTTACACCAATGGCATTGACATGAACATGGTATGTATTTCTGTTTTCCAAAACAGAAATGCCTCAGGCATTATAGCTATAGCCAAAATGGAAAGGCAGTCTCACCAGCTTTGAACCCCTTGCTTTTGTTTTCTTCTCTCAAATGTTTATTTTCTCCCTTGGAGATAGTCTTTCATTCTCAATTCATGGCATTGCATGGTGCTATATCTAGTTATACTGTGTGGCAAAGGCATTATAACGTGATGCAAACTGATATAACTGTGTAGCAGATTTCCCACTTCCAGGTAGAAAGAGCATTGCTTTAGCTGTGAGTTGGGTTTTCACTGTATGACCTAGTTGCCAGCAACCCCCCAAAAAATAGTTGGACCCATGTGCAGTGAGATTGGACAAGTAAACAGGAACAATTATGGTGCCCTCAAACAGAGATCTAAGGTTCACACACTTTAAAAGTAAGCCATTTTGAAATTTGGAGTAGAAATTAGGGAGCTTATATATGTCATAAGCATTTTATGATAGGAAGTTTTGTGTTCCTAAGAACAATTTTTTTCTATATTTAAAATAAATAATTATATGCCCTTTTGCTATACCTGGTTTAATGCCTCTTTCCTTTCAAGGGGGATGTATGGAATCCTTTACATCTTTTAAGCAAATTCAATATCAACAATCACTTGTCATAACCTCCCCTATCCTGTGTCACTGCTCAAAAATTAACACAATTAATAGTATTAACATAATCAAAAGAGTGTTTTCATTATTAGGAGAATGGTCCACATTTTTTTGTCTTGCAGTTTGCACATCAAGACTGATTGCTACAGGCAAACTATACAACAAATCCAAATTCCATAACATATCATAAAGCTCATAAAACAAGATTAAAAACATGGTGCTTTCCCATCTGGCTACTCCTCCACTGGGCAAGGACTTTTTCTGAGAATTCTTCAGAAAACAAAATTTCTCACATTTAATTACATCAATTGTATAATGCCGTTTTTGTGTGAGTCTGTCATTTAGATTGATTTTTTTTCTAGCCAGTAATGTTCTAACAACAACAAAAAAAAAGATTCAACATCAGCTGTATTGTGTAGAAAACATTGCAAATATTGCCCAGTTTAAGAGATATATTTATATATGGATAAGTTTAGCATCACTGTGCGTGATTTATTTGAGAAGCAGGACATGCCTTTGTAAAAGTTTTCATTTGAAGAGCTAGTCAAATTAGTGCATTTCATCTAACATTATAGCTGAACTCTTTTGAGTTCTTTCATATCATCCAAAATTTCTTGTGGAAAATCCATTTTATAAATTAATCTCTCCAAGGGAACACATTAATCTCACGAGAAGAAGCACCTACATAGTGATCACTTTCATATAGTTTGTTAGTATTATCATTTAGCGGCAGTATCAGTTTTCAACTACTATGGGGAATTGCTACTGCTGGGTTGGCTGAAGCAGTGTCAAGAAATTTTAATCAAAATACATGCCACTCAATTTTGTTGTTCCATACTGCCAGATTATTTCAATTAACGGTAGTAAAACAATTTATTTTACCTCCCTTCTTCATATAACTCTAGTTTCGTGACCATTTTTTTTTTGTGGTAAAGTCTATTTTGTGACAACTATTGACCTTTCATTGTTTGACTCATTTACCTATGAATATGGTTTATATACCACTTGCCTATTTACAATGTACTTATGAAAGATTTATCTCTTTCCTGTCTGCTTCACACCTTAATACATGGAATCACAACACCCACCGGTAAGAACAGGAGGTATTTATATCCAATTTAATTATCGTGTAAATTGTGGAGAACACCCTTGTTATCTGTCAGGTTTAGAGCTTGTTAAATGATTTCCAGTGTTAGTTCTGATCTTTTTTTGCATGATACAACAGAGGAAATACAAAGCAAGAAATTGGGGAAGATAACCTGGGTGAGGCCAAGTAGAGACTAGAAATCCTCCACTTTGACAATGACTTGACCTCTAATAATATTTTTATACAGTTTCCCACTTCCCATAAAAAAAATCACTTCTCTGATCCTATCCCCGCTCTGGTAAAGGTTATGGGTATACGGTTTGCATTAGATAATTGTCATAAAGAAAATGTCATTCTCTTTCATCATCCTCTATTTTCATGATGTAGGTGCTTTTCTTTCCTCTCATCTGCATGCCCGTATTACATGATCCTGGAGTGTGTGAGCTCTAAACCATGTGCCGCTAAGTCTTGCATGTGGTTTTGAGAGCTTGACTTTGCACGAACTTCTGTATGTACACAGTGTCTACATTTCTCATGTTGTGCCTGCAAAGTAAGTAAAAAAATCAAAGTGCAGAATAACTCTGGAAACTTGGCAAATGGAAGATGCTTGGTTATTAAGCACGATATGAAAAGCAAGTTGATTAGAGAAATGCAACTGACTATTGAGAGGTTAAAAAAAGTTGTTTATTTTTAACCTCCTTAAACCCATTGTTAAAATTTGTCTTATCAGTTTATTGTTAACTAGATTATAAATTAATGGCAGTTTAAAATAATTTAAATTTACTTATTGTGATACACAAAAATACATCAAACTGTTGTATTTTGCATCAGCATTCCATGTTATGATTTCCTTTAAGTATAATCTTAAATATAATTTTTCATGAAACATTTCAGGTCATTTTTACTGTTCAGCCATATCCAAGTAAGGTACAAGATTTCCAATTACATTGTATTAACCGACCTAAAATGGTTTTTTATGGCCTAAAATATTTGATTGTTTGATAGGCCACAAAAATAGGGAAGAATTGATGTAAAAACTATAGCCATATTCCTTAATTCTGTATAGTTTGCTTTTTGTGGAAAAGTTATTGCCAGAATGTTTCAGAATTAAAAGCATTCTGGGAAAAATGATGGACTCCCTTTTAGTTAAACCAAATGGTTCAGAGTACAAAAGAAAAAAAAAAAGAGCCAAGATAATGAAGCTAGTGAAATAAATGTTCTTTTGAATCTGATTTCAGACTTAGAAAAAGTAAAAATTATCTCAAAGGTATGCACATTAATTCGGGAAAACCCTTCCTCCTCTAACCTGCAGAAGTTTGACTAGTTAAAAATAGATACTTCTTCAGTTTAGGATTGATGACATCTTGAGGAACTTGACCCAGTCTGAAACTTTCTGAAGTTAGCCACAGTTTTAGTCATAACACGGCCAAGATAATGAAATTCATCTTCTATGTCAGTGTAGAATAAAGTGGCCTCCATCACACACAACAGCCTGATTTGAATAAAGAGGTGCCCTGATAACCACCGGCCATGTCATTCTGGGTGGAGGGAAATGCTTCATTTAAGACAATCCACTCTATAGCTTACTTTTAGGTCATTGGGAAAGACATGACATATTTTTCTGTTTTCCTATGCAAAAGCATCACGACTTTCCTGACAACCCAATATACTGACATGAAGGAAAAGCCATTATGAACATTTAAAGGAGAATTTATTTCTTTCCTAAAAATACCACCCCACCAGGTAATGTCTGAATAATATTAAAAAAATATGTATATACAGAACAAAGATTCAAAAGTCTCAAGCCCTAACTTTCAATCTGCCACTAACCTTGGACAAGTCGTTTAACCTCTTTATAATTTCATTATACTTGTCATTTTCAGATATTTTTAAAGCACCAGAACTCAAATATGCTAAGTGTGTAGAACCAGTGTGATATTTTGTTTTATTTTGCTTTTGGATGGAGATTCTATCCTATCTGCTGCTCACCTTCTAACTGCCTGTGGTGGAATCTCCAAGTCTCCTCTATGGAACATCTGATTCTGCATGGAGCATTATTCAAAACACACTGGACTAGATGGGTGGGTAGCAGATAACTGGAGTCCATTTCAAAAGTAAAGGCACTTATTTGGGAGCGTACAGGTGGTATTAGACAGGTAATCTAGAAACAACTGCATTTATTTTACTTGAGGAAGAAAGAGAAACAACTGAGTTTGGGGGTTTCATTTTGTTTTTGTTTGTTGATGGCCTGAGGCATTAATGGAAGATATTTTTAGAGACAGAAACAGAAAGTAGTCAGAATAGGAGCCTAGAAAGAGGGATATGTTCTTCAGCTGGGTAGATAGAAAAGAATGCTTTAAAACAGACAGAAAAGAGGGCGTGGTGGCGCCCGCCCTATGGCAAAAAACAGAAAAGAAAAGCGGAAAGATGAAGGCATCAGGCGTAAGAGAGAAAAAGCTTGACAATATTTGCACTACATGGTCCAGTCTCCCAGGTCAAGCAGAGATTGGATGAATTCCTGAGGAAAGAGAAGGTACAGGATAGGAGTGGAACTGAAGGGGAGAGTTTTGGGAGATTTTTATGAAAAATCTGTCTAGAAAGCTAAAAGTACTTAAAATCACAGTATGATATTGAACAACACAGCATGCATTTGTAACTACCCAACAAACAAAGCAAAGCAAAGTAGAAAAGACAGTAATAAAGAATGGGATTTTGTTTAATAGAAAATCTTATTCCTTGTGGCTGAAGTGATTTCTAAGGAGTTTAGTTAACATTTGATTTCCTTTACTTTCACAACTCTTTTCTAGTTTTTCTGTTATCTGTCAGAGTAGCTTCCTCTACTAACACCAACTTATCGTGTAACCATGGTCTCACTCCTTTCTATCAAAAACTTCATTTTGTATCCACTCTCTGCACTTATTTAAATGATATCATTTGTGCCAGACCTTTATATTCAAATCATGGAGTGTTTGATACATCATAGTGAAATGTAATGGTCAGTTCTTTCAGTTATGCTCAGTTCAGCAACCCAGATAAAAACAATCTTGCAACAATAAACACTGAGAAGTATAAAAGCACAATTTACAAATTAGTGTAGCTTATCGTCACCATATTTTTTAAAAAATAAAAAGCACTGACAAATTTAATCCCTTTTTACTATTTACTTATTTACTTATGGAGATATTTTTTGCTATACATTATGTGCACTCACTGGAGAGACAGAGAAACAGAAAGCGAGAAATTAACCCCCCCCAGGGGGGATTGTCACACTGCAATA